CATGGACAAGAAAACATTAGTTTTAGAACAAATTACAATCATATGGTAAACAATACAGGGAGTAACTCTTATAGATCAAAGAACAAAGGTCCACGTTTGTTTTGTGACTATTGTAAAAAAAAATCAGGTCACACTAAAGAAATATGTTATAGGTTACATGGTTTCCCACAAAACATCAAGTTCACAAGAGGCAAGAATACAACATCTATTGCAAATGTTAACAGAGGACCTGAAGAGATGTTACTTGGAAGATCAGATGTAGCTAATAATCGAGGCTAAAACTAGAACCATAATGCGGCCAATTTGACAAAAGAACAGTACAATCAGTTGTTGAACCTACTGGAGAAGCTTTACATTGGAAGTGTAATCGAGGTCTCAAACAATATCACAAGTGGAGCTGTGAACTTTGCAGGTATATTGACTTGTTGTACTTATGATGAAATTGTTGGTGATTTTCATATAAATGTTCTCATTTACTTGCTGATTTCTGGATTTTAGATTCTGGAGCCTCGAACCACATGTCCCACAACAAAAACTTACTCACCAATACTAGAACCTTGTTATATCCCTTTGTAGTTACTCTCCCATATGGATATAGGGTTAAGGTGACAGAGATAGGTGATGCAGTTATTAGTCCAAAGCTAATTTTACACAAAGTATTGTTTGTTCCGAGTTTCAAGTTCAATCTCATTTATGTTCACTCACTAACATCACAACTCAAATCCATTGTTAATTTTTCCGCTTACTCATGTGTAGTGCAGGCCCCTTCAATTTGAAAGGTAGTTGGTGAGTTGATATGGATAAGGAGACTGCTGGAAGAATTAACTGATACATGCTAGTAACCTATTCTTGTTTTCTATGACAGTCAAGTTGTTGTCCATATGTCAAGGAACCCTGTGTTTCATGAGCGTACAAAGTACATAGAGGTCGATTGTCATTTCGTGAGAGATAAGCTACATGATGATTTTATCACTCTTTATCACATTTCAACAAGTAATTAATTAGCTAACATTCTAATTAAGGCCTTGACAAGCATCAAACATACTAGCATCCTTTGCAAGTTGGCAGTGAATTCTTCCCCACCAACTTGGGAGGGGGGGGGGGGGGGTTAAGATCGACTAAGCACTAATATATTTATGTACACGTTATTAGTCTGTTAGTTATAGTTAGTCAGTTAGATTAATGTTAGTTTAGCTATTAGCTGTTAATGAGTTGTTGCTAGCTATTAGGTTTGGTTACATTTCTTCTTACACGTATATATAATGTAGGAGCCACAATGAATGAGATTACTTTGCATTTTCTGCAATTTCTCTCGGACTCTAGAATGTTCTCTTCAGCCAACTGCTAGTAGTTTCAGCTCAAGTCTTGTCTTAAATAGAGTTCACACTTCATAGATTCTCAGTTTCAACAAAGAACTTTATCGAAAAATAATTTGTCTCGGTTTCTAAAAATATAAGTTTCTTTTTTATAATTGACAAGAAAAGAAATGTAAATACGCATGGAAAATATTTCTTTTATATCCGATAAAAATAAGACATTTAATTTATAGAATAATGAACGTTTATGTACATTGTCTTCTACTTTGAGTCAATCGACCAATTTGCAGGTATATACTTAGCTAATTTTCCTTCTATGTTGGATTTAAGTCCAAACTATGTATTACACCATGTTAGCTCTGAAGCCAACTCATATGAAATACCATTTTGTCTTCAATTTTAATTTTCATAGAAGAAAATTTATTATTTGGACAACTCAAATAACGAAAGATTTCATTTGATTTACAAATTAAAAACAGTTTCTATTTAATTTAATTGTTGCATTTACTTTTGGTAGGCTAGCCAAGCAACTCTTGTGATGAAATTGACATAGATCAATTGTCCCTTTTTGGTAACTAAGATCATCACCTTATATATATCGGAAAAGAGTCAAATATGCCCCTGAACTTTTGAAAATAGAGCAATTATGTCATCCGTTTGTATTTGGGTACAAAATTATCTTTGTCGTTAATAAAGTGGTTCACTTTTGCCCCTCCACACTAACAAACTCCACATCAAAGACAATTTTATACCCAAATACAAACGGAGGGAATAATTGCTCTATTTTCAATAGTTCAGGGGCATATTTGATCCTATGCCCCTGAAGACGTTTCGATATGCGGTTGCAAATTAAAATAGGAAGACGAAACGTTTTTTTTTTATCATTAATTACTTGGTACTCAAATAATAAGATTTTGCATTAAGGATTGATATTACAATGTAAAAGGTTATTTTATTAAGGATACATCAATGATGAACAATGGCATTGTATCCTTTGAGCAGATCCGGATTCAAGTCCCTCTAATGGGGTATTGTTTGGTTATCTTACATGATAGGACTTAGGAGTTCAAAGAATATAAAAATCAAATCACACGAATTTGATCCAGTAAGAAAAAAAGTGAAGCAGTAGGTTGTGATCAGCTGGCCGAAGGGATTTTCCGGTGAGATTTCTCGTCATTGTAGTAATTACTATGTAAAAGATATGGCAAGCCATTCCTTTCCTTTTTTTTTTTTTTTTTTTTTTTTTTTTTTTTTTTTTTTTTTTTTTTTTTTTTTTTACAAAAAAGACTTTTTCTCTAACATGGGTTTTCAACTAAACAAAAAAGTATTATTTTATACGAAAAATAGTCAAATATATCCCTAAATTATTGAAAATAGAGCAATTATGCCATCCATTTGTATTTGGGTACAAAATTATCCTTGATGTGGAGTCTGTTAGTGGGGAGGGGCAAAAGTGAACCACTTTATTAACATCAAGGGCAATTTTGTACCCAAATGCAAACGGAGGGCATAATTGCTCTATTTTCAATATTTAAAGGACATATCTGACCCTTATCAATTACAAGTGTGAAGTCCTAAGTATGAAATTGAATTACCAAAATATCCATAAAAACTGAATGACCTTTTTGTCCTTCATTTAAACATCAATCCTATAACATTATTATACCTAAAAGTAAAAACATTTCATAATAAATTGAGTCTTTTCTACTACTCCTAACATCCCACGGTAAATAAATGAGTCTTTTTTACTACTCCCTATATTAAAACATAAATCTAATTTATATCTTTTGAAACTTGTGAAATCTTTTTTGCATTCCCAATCAAATTCATCTAATGCTTCATATAGATTTAGTTAGAATAATAATTCACAATTTCTTGAGCCGGTGTTCCACCAGGAAGAATAAGCATGCTGATGGACTCCTTCTTTTCACTTTTCTTTGACAAAATTATGGTATCATCCGTTAATAAGATTATGAATTGGCATGTTCATTTTGCTTATTATTTCACATGTGTTTACCCAAAAAATTGTGTGCACTCATGTAAAATTATTTTTCTAAATTTTGTATATTCTATTTCTTATATACATACTAGAGTTGCATATACTAATTATCCTTTGAATTGTATTTACAGATTGTGAGAAAAAACAAAGAACAACGAATGAATTTACCTAAAAGACAATTCCGTTTCTGGTAAATTTAAGTGCTCTCATATTTTTGATTCAATAAGAAGTCAGATAATTTGATCCGTGCACTTTAGTATTTCTTCTTTCTTGCATAAATAGGGGATAACGCTTCGCTTTTTGTTTGATTTTCAATGCTCCTGTTTCTACATTTTTAATAAGCACTTTAAGAATACAATATGCATTTATTTTGCAACTAAGATTAAACAGACGAACAAGAGAATTTGAATTTCCTCATTCTTTAATATATAGGAACTCCACTAATAAATTTTGGCTTGTATTTTTTTACCTTTCAAATCTTGTTTTATATCTCATGATAAACATTTTAAAATAATATATAGTATGTCAGTTTAAGAAGTTTATATTGATTTCGTGGAACACAAGTGCGTTGCACGTGTCTAGAGAGGTAAAAACTTACCCGCACTGGGTGTTTACACCTAGTTTAGTTAAGTTAACTATACAAGAAAACTAAGATTTCTAGGGTTACCGTCCTCTTTCGCTTGTTCCTCTTTATTTTATTCAAAGGCGTATGAACGTCCTTCAATAACTGCATCTAACAATTCTTTTGCTCTCTTTTTGTCTTGATTTCACAGGAAACTAAGTTTACTTATGCAATGATGCATCTGGAAAATTAATATGCAGTTTTATGTAAAAATAAATTAATCTGAGAGTATACTATGGGAGACAAGTTTTTCATTTTCTTCTTTATATTCTCACTGAGTACAATAACACGAAAAAAATACTCTGCCTCTTTTTTCCTTTTTCTTTTCCTTATCAATAATTTCTATTAAAATGTTTCTTCTTTTTATTGTATAACCTGTGGAATAATTTTTGAGGTAAATGCAGTGCCAATAAGTAGCTAAAAAGTTTGAGTTTTTCCCATGTTTCTGGTTTTTGTAACTTGTAGATGTTCCCACGTTTATCAACTTAAGTTTAAAACATAATGGAATAGCTGGATTATTATGTATATTTACACATTATTTTTTAAGATAGTGCAAAAGCTATGGTAGTTAACTATGATTAATTACTAGTAGTTATAGTTAAATAATATGACACATGTCATTTATTTATTAGTAGAGCGTAAACACCCGGTGTGGGTAAGTTTTTACCGTTTAGAGACTAGTATACTATTAATCACCAACGAACAATATTAAAATCACATCTAAACACGCTCTTTTAGGTGTCTCAAACAAGTGCTACAACTATACTAATAGCATGTTAGGCCAAACTTTTTTACGCTTTAACTTATTTTGAAAATTATTTTTCTCACAAGTATCTTTAAAAAAGTATTTTTGAGTACAAGTAGTTTGTGTTTAATTAATTAATTTTAAAAAATATTTTGAGAGAACTAATGTTTGGCCAAACTTTTAAAAAATATATATTTTTTTAAAAAAATAATTTTGGCAACAAGCTATTTTTTCTATTTCTCGGTAGTTGTTTGGTCAAGTACTTTTACGAATAAATCGCATTAGCATTCGAATAAATCGCATTCGCATTCGAATTTCGATCTTATAAATCGCGTTTGGAATTGCGACCGCGTTCCAGCCTCCTAAACAAAGACCTTCGAATTCCCTTATTTCCCAAAGCCCTAATAGTCTCTTCATAAAGTCGCGCATTTGCTCGTTCTTTGTGTATATCAACAGATTTCGGTAAATTTTAGTGATTTTTTCTCGTTTTTATGGTGATTATTATTGAAACTGCAGAAAGTTCATGTTTTACCGTTATTCAATAACCTTGTGTTTTGGCTGATTTTCGATTTGTAAGTTTGCTTGTTGATCTGTTTGTATTATGTGTATATAGCTTGTGCTATTTACTTTTTGTATTAAGCAACTGTCAGCTCATACAGATAGGATAAGGTGTGGTTGTTAGCTTGCTTGTATTGATTGAAGCGCAGAACCGTGACTTTGTTACTTGAAATGGTGGTCGTGCTTTCTAAACGAATAAATAATTTGGGCCAAGTTTTGCGAGTTGTTCGACAGCGCAAGGATCATTTTTTGTCAAGCAGTTGGTTACATTCAGTTTCAGAAACAAAAGATGACATTGAAACAATTGCTAGAATCATCAATGACCACCCTTTTCCTGTTCAGCCATTGCAACCAACACTTAAACGTCATATCTCTCTGAGTGTTTTGTCTGCCACGTTTGTTGAAAATGTTCTCGGTCGCCTATTTGCAGCACATGCGAATGGACTTAAAGCATATGAATTTTTTGAGTTCTGCCTCTGCCATTCTGAATATAGTCCAACCTCAGATGCATTTGAGAAGACACTTCACATACTAGCAAGAATGCGTTACTTTGATAAAGTTTGGGAACTAATGAAGAAAATTCAACAGCTATACCCGTCCTTGCTCACTCTTAAGTCATTGAGCATCGTGCTATCAAGAATAGCAAAACATCAATCCTACGAAGATGCCCTTGAAGCATTTGAAAAGATGGAGAAGCATTTATTCCCTGCGAAGAAATTTGGCACCGAAGAGTTCAATATTCTTCTTCGAGCATTTTGCACGCAGAGGCAGATGAAAGAAGCTCGTTCAATATTCAACAGACTCCACTCTAGGTTCCCACCTGATACAAAGACAATGAATATCTTGCTTTTGGGATTCAAGGAATCAGGGGATATTACCGCGGTAGAGTTATTTTACCATGAGATGGTTAAAAGAGGGTTTAAGCCTAATAATGTAACGTATGGTATAAGAATCGACGCGTACTGCAAGAAAGGTCATCTTGGTGATGCTTTGAAACTATTTGAAGAAATGGAGAGGGTAAATTGCTTGCCCACAGTACAGACGATAACAACTTTGATTCATGGAGCAGGAATTGCTCGTAATATAACTAAAGCAAAAGAACTTTTCAATGAAATTTTCAAGAGAAATTTGCAACCAGATACTGGGTCCTATAATGCCCTCGTGAGTTCTCTTATCAAATCCAGGGATGTTAAATCTGCAGCAGTCTTAATGAAAGAGATGGAGGAGAAAAATATTGAGCTTGACCATTTAACTTACCACACTATGTTCTGGGGATTGATAAGATCAAAAGATGTTGGCGGTGTCATTGATCTTTACGAAAAGATGATCGACAAAAATTTCTTGCCTAAGGCACGTACTGTTGTGACGCTGACCAAATTCTTCTGTGAGAACCGAAGACTTGATCTGGGCTTGAGTTTATGGAATTACCTGATGGATAAAGGGCACTGTCCACACTGCCATTCTCTGGAACTTTTGGTCACCGGATTGTGTTCCCGTGGGAGAGTCGAAGAAGCATTTGAGTGCTCTGAGGAAATGTTAAAGAGGGGTAGACACATGAGTGAGCTAGTGTTTCAGATGTTGAAGAGGTCTCTCTTACAGCTAGGAGAGGAGGAAAAGTTACAGAAGCTGTACGAAATGACAAAGAGGTTAGAAATGATATTGCCTCCTTATGGACAAACGATTGGGCACAGCCTAGGTGCAGATCTATAAGTAAGGTGAATAAAGATTCTTGCTTGATTTATTTGATTCTACGTAGAGCTGAGGTGTTGCAGCGCTTTTGTCTCAATTCTCTCTTGGCACATGTATCTTTTGATCACATTAAGGTGGCTAGCACTCTGATCTTTTCTTTCTGTTGATTTGTAAGATCTTAGATTGCTGATAGTTCTTCTCTTTCTCAATTTCTTTGATAGGAGTTTTTCCTAGAAAAGAGGTGAACGCACTTCTTACAGGTTTGTTATTCAGTTTAGTCCTTATTTTGTAGATCTATAGAAGTTACTTTGATAGCTTACCTTCCTATGGGACACTTTATGCAGCCACTGCAGTGCTACATGAGATGCATATAACTGTTAGAAAGTAAAATTTTGGCGGTGCCGTCTAAAACTAAAAGTACAACCCCTGAAAGTTGGCTAGTTGTCATGGAAGGAGTATTGATTGCAGTGCTACATGAGATGCATATCGCTGTTAGAAAGCAACATTTTGGCAGTGCCGCCTAATTGTACAACCTGTGAAAGTTGGCTAATTGTCACGAAAGGAATATTGTCCTGTTATGCATGCGCCAAGCACACTAAGATCCCATCACAAGCAACTGGGAAGGATCTAAATACTAAAGGTAATTTTCCTGTTTCTGTTATGCCTTCCTGATTTGCCTTGCAATCAGTATGATGACACTATCAGTCATCTACACTGTTCTTTTTTCCCCTCATCAGCTGGTTTTGGAAACTATTTGTTGACTCTTAAACATGGGTAGTCTCATGTCACTTGTTAGATATGATGGTTGTGGGGGGG